GGGGGAGGGGACTGGCTCCAGAAGTGGTAGGTTTTCCATCTTTTAAATGCATCGTTCCCACCTGGAACAGTTTAAAGGACATGACTGGAAGGGTGGCAGAGCAGTGAAGCAAGTGCTACGGAGTCTAAAGGGACTCCGGTCTGCATTCTGGCGGCTGGCTCCCCATCTGTAAAATGGAGATAGTTGTCCAGCTAATCGGGTGTTCCGACTTTCTTGGGAAATATACATACACTATCTCCAGAAAAAAAACAAAAGAAACTGGCTACCACTGGGAAGGGCTGTTGGGGGGCAAGGGGGTGGGAGACTCCATGTTTCGCCCATTGAAGAGGTAATTACTTGAGTGATTTTTTAAAATATGTTTCTTAATTGATTTTTTTACAGAGAGGAAGAGAGAGGGATAGAGAGTTAGAAACATCGATGAGAGAGAAACATCGATCAGCTGCCTCCTGCACACCCCCTACTGGGGATATGCCCGCAACCAAGGTACATGCCCTTGACCGGAATCGAACCTGGAACCCTTCAGTCCACAGGCTGACGCTCTATCCACCGAGCCAAACTGGTCAGGGCTATTTGAGTGATTTTTAAAAAATTGTACCTGGTGTTCAGTGTGAGCACTGGTTATCTTTACAAAGAAGGTTTGACACAGGCCCCCACCTGACCTCACACCATCGCTTTCCCACAGCTTCAGGTTAGAGCTCAGGCTTCACACCCGAGGCAGGTGGTGAGCATGTGGGCTTCAGATGCAGACCTAGGTCCCTGTGTCCCCCGCTTACTAGCTGTGTGGCTGTGGTAGCTGTTCTGCCTCAGTTTCCTTGGTCATAAAGGATGCTAATGGTCCCCACCAGTTGCCAGCAGGATTTAATGAGAGCAGAGCAGCAACCGAGTGGGCACTGGGCATGTGCCCGGCACAGCTTGGAACACATCACATCATCAGGGGCCACTGTCACCCACATTTTACAGATGAGGAATGGGAGGCTCTGGGGGGCAAAGGAACTTGTCCATAGTCACTCAGCTGGTAACTGGCGAAGCCAGGACCACGCCCAGGCAGTCTGGTTCCAGAGTGGGTGCCCCTAACCACCGCGCCTCCCTGCCTCTCCTGCACACCTCACATATCAGAACACCTGGCACGCGGAAACTGCTCTGCAAATCACAGCTGTGACTGTGGTTGAGACATGCTAACACACACTAAGCCTTTCCCAGGTCACTGGGTAAAACATTTTGGGGCAGGGCTATTTGACAGCTCCTACCTTCTGGGGGGCAGCATTTACCAGCCCATAGACACCCCCCAGGGAACTTAAAGAAGCCCAGCATCCACAGTTACACACAATCCACTCACCACCACCCGAGCCAGACAGGTTGTAGGACAACCCACTGCAAGAGACAAGATGTTCTTTCCTTTTGGTCAATACTGCCAATGGGGGGCCTACCAACAGGGGGAGTTTGTCAGTCTCCCCTCCAACCCCCCGCCCTGACACATGTAATAGCTAACTTTGTGCTAATGAAGGCCAGGCTGAGGTTACCTCCACACATCAACTGGATTAGACCTTGGCTTACACACACACACACACACACACACACAACACACAACACACCACAAACACAACACACACACACACACACAAAACACACAACACACCACAAACACACCACAAACACAACACACACACACACACACACACACACACACACACACACACACGACTCAGAATCAACACCCAGCCTTACCCACTGAAACCCAATTGGGTGGAGGGTGATGGATCCAGGCCACCATGGATAAAGCATTAAACAGATAATCTGATTATGAATAATTGAGCTTATTGTTAAGTGTCAATGTCTAAAGCCATTGACTGAAATTCCAAATAGATTTCCAAGAGAGAGAAAGGCTCACGCGGCTCACGCCTCATTGCCCATTCTCTGGCCCTCCCCTGAGAGAGCACAGAGCCACCCACACACCTTAGGTGGTTCCTTCTCTAGCCCCACCCCCTGCCCCCAACACACATCAAACCTGGAGACACAAGGGACCCTGACTGGGAGGGATGCGGGCAGAGGGGTTTCAGGAAGTCAGGTCCCCCATTTCCCAGCCTCAGCAGTGAACTACTCTGACTCACCCAGGTGATGGGAACAGCTTTCATGTAAGGTTGCCATCCAGTAAGGCAAATCCAAATCTTTTGGAAATGTTCCTCCCACTCACTCTTCCTCCTCGGGGAGGCCTAGTCTAGAAATCATCAGACTTCACCTTCTCCGAGAGAAATGAGAAAGCAGCCCACCCCTGCCCAGCTGGGGGGAGGAAGGGTTCGGGACTTGGGAAGGTCCTGTTGCTAATGAAGGGAGGCCCCGAGCCCAGCACAGCTGAGGACTGTCTCAGCCCAGATCAGTGGCTGGTGATGACCAAACTCTCCCGGAGAGGAGGAGAGGAGTAGAGGAAGAGAGGAGGCGAGGAGGGGAGGAGGAGGGCCTAGTGAGCCAGGCCTGCCAGCACAGGTCCAGCCACATCCTGGGCTTGACCCAGAGAAGTAAAGGAGCAGAGCTCAGGCAGGGCCAGATGCTTGGTTGTCAGAAGAGGAAGGAGCCTCAGGTGGATGGAAGTGTGTGTGTGTGTGTGTGTGTGTGGGGTGGGTGGCGGTAAGAAGGGGGAGGGGCAAGACTACTTCATGGGAAGGGGAGCAGATTGAGGGAAACAGTCTGGGGTCAGGGCTAGAAGCCACTGCCCCCACCCCCAGGTACCCAGAAAGGCCTGGGGCCCCTGGCCTTGGAGGAGACAGCTGCAGGGAGGGCACAGCTGCCACCACAGAGCCCCTGCTCAGAACCCAGCACCCACCAAACTCCTTCTCCCACCACAGGGCCCCTCGGAGTCTATGAAATGCTCCTCAGCAAGCCTGCGTGGAGAACACAGGCCAGGCCACATCTGCTAAGCCCCCGTCCCCCTGCAGTGCCCAGTGCCCACCTCTCATGGTAGGTGTTCAGCAAGTAGGGAGCTGTTCTTCATGAGAACAGGATCCCAGGCCAGCAGTGCTCATACAGGGGGTGGGAAATGGGTATCTGGGAGGCTGGTCTGTCCGTGTCCCCAAGAGTGGGGGACATGGGAGGCGAGGGACTCAGGGACTCGGGCGCAGTTACCTGTATCCTGTCTTCTGGCAGCTCCGTTTTCATGGCCAGCATCTCCCGGGCATAGACGTCTGGGTAGTGGGCCTCGTTGAACGCCTTCTCCAGCTCCTCTAGCTGGTAGGAGGTAAAGATCGTCCTGCGGGGAGCAAACGGATACTCAGGACTCTGGAAACGACGAGGCTGTCCCAGAGAGGACAGAACGGCCCTTCCCTGTGCCTCCTGGACAGACCCCAAACCCAGGCGCTCAGCACAATCGGACACACACTCACACACACACACACACACACACACACACACACACACACGCTCCCATGCGCACGTGCGTGCACACGTGTTCGCACACACACTCAGCCTAACCCTCTGGACTTTTCTTCTTTCAAGGCTGAGGAACCCCAGTGCCCTTCCGATAAGGGTGGGGGATTATTTCAGCCCTCGGGGGCATCTCATTATAGGAATCTTTCTGGAAGGGCTTGTGGGGAAAGGGTGTTAGATAGACATCTGAGAAAACTGCAGAAGGCCCCTCTTCCTCCTGCCACGCACAGGGCCACAGGCGAGGGGGCGCCAGGTAAATAAATGCCTCCCCCACTAGGCCCTGCTCCCTGGGCTCCTCTGACAGCTGATCTTTCACACGGCACTCACCCGAAGATCAAAGGCAGCTGCGGCCCCAGTGGTTATGCAACTGAGGACTGAATGTCCCTCCCTGGCAACCCACCCAACACTCCGCCCTCCTCACCTGCCCTGGTCCACCAGCTCCTTAAGGCTGCTCTCCTAATTGTAGGGGTGAGGAATATGAGGGGGAGGGCGCCCTGACCCTTCTGGTGCTCAGAAGCCAAGAGCCACCTTCCAACCATCTCCCCTGCCACACACACACACACACACACACACACACACACAAGCTGGGGAGGCAACCCAGGGGGGCCCACTGGGGGAGTTGCACTCAGGTGACCCTGAAATAACCTACCTCCACAGCCCCCCTCCCCACTGAGCAGTGAAGAATCTGATAAAAGCTACATCCTCTCGCCAGCCCTAGGAAAATGTGCAAACGAATATGCTCCGACACATAACATTTCACTTCCACTATCAGGGGGTTCATAGACCTCCTTTCCTGCATAAACACACTACATATCCACCTGCAGACACAAAGTCTTCTTTCTTCAGACCTTAATTTCACCAAGATCTGGGTGACCTTTCTCTTAGCCACAAGCCAGCGGGCGATAGCGTCCAGATCCCACACACTCAACTCATAAACACGGTACCTTCCCTGCTGGAGCCTCTGGGACTTGGGACTCTGGGGCAGCACAGGGGTTTAGAAGCCCTCACTGCTGCTCGCACGCGCCCCCAGCACAGGAAGAAGCGCAAAGTTCAGCCACGTTCCTTGTGCTGGTTTGTCTTCAGTGTCTCAGGGTCTGATGCAGGGGATTGTGAGGAAGAAGGATTCTGCTCGTTATAGAAAACGACTGGTTTGATTCTAAATCGTTTCTCCTCTCCTCTTGGGGGTGGGGATTAAATGCTTTTGTAAACAGAAAGTTATTTCTTCAGAATTTTGAAGAAATTCTGTTTCTCTCTTGCTATTTACTGAAAGGTCCCCCTACACACAGTGTCAAAATAAACAATCGAAACACGCAAGTCCTTTGCAAAACTCGGGAAACTGAAGCAAGCACGTAGGTGTGGGGGCCACAGCCAAAGAGAAGAGCCGACAATAGATTGTTTAAGACCCTTCCTGTGTCTGCTCTTTGCTTAGGAGAGCTCGAGCTTGCACTCAAAACAAAACAAAGCCTCAGATCCCCCAAACTTCCCCCCATTCCTGTCGCAGAGCCAATCCCGGCTCCCCAGGACCCTCCCTGCGCTCCCACAACGTGACCCAGAAAACCTGCTCCTGGTTTTCTGCAGAAACCCAGACCTTCGGGTCCCCACTGTCTCCTGCCTGAGCTTTCCGGGTACAGAGATGAGGAAAAGCCGAGACCCCCAAGGCTGCTGGCCCACCCCCTCTCCCCTCTCCAACCCCCATAAACCTGGGTGTTTCCGGGAAATGAGCGATGCCCGTCTCCCCTCACCAGATTCCAGGATCTCTTCCCTGAAATCCCCAAACGAGAGAAGCTCAGAATAACGTTTGCGTTGTTTTTAAAAAACTAATTAAAAACTGCACTGGCCATCGGTAGCCATTCTCCTCCCTCCACTAGCCGGCTTCCTTCATGCACCAGAAATAGCCAGAAACCTAGGGCAGGTGGCGAGTCCTCCTGCTCCCTGCGAACCTCCAACGCTCCCACCGGTCTCCCTGGTGGAGAGGGTGGCAGGTGAGGGCAGAGGGCCAGGAGCCTGAGGCATGGCCTTCGGGCTGTGGGTCAGCCAGCTCCGAGTGCCACACAGGGCGGCGTCCTGACGCAGAAACGCTGTGAGGCACCCAGGGTCGGGGCATGCTTTCCCAGGGCTCTTCTTGCCGTGGGAGCCCCTCTCTCCTTCCCCCTCGCACCAGCGCAGAAGCAGTTCAGCGGACCGGTCCTTCCCCCCTGGCCTGGTCTCTGTCCCTGGACTCGGAGGCTGGCAGGACCACCCACCCTGGGACCGGCATGTCGTGGGTGCAAAAGAGGTGTCTTAATGAACATTCGTTGGGTAAATGGATGTAAAAAATGACCCAGGATCAGGACCAAAATAAAATGTTTCCGTTTAAAAGAAAACAAAACAAAAACAAACAGCTGACTGGAGAGAAGGAGCGAATCAAGGTCATGGAGAAACCAAGCCGAAGTTCACTCGCAGGCAGGCGGGAGCCTGTTGGGGTCTGAGGGCTCAGGAAGAGCCATTTAAAAGGTGGGGGTCAGTAGTGCGGTTCCCAAGGGTGAAGGAAGAGGGACAGGCAGAAAAGCGCCCAGAGAAAGGGTGCGATGAGGCTGAAAACAAACTGGGGTGAAAGAACAAGGAGGTGCGGGGGAGAAGCGGGGAGCTCCGTGGGGTGAAATGCCCTGAGAGCCCATGGGACCCACCTGGGCGCCCCCCCTGCCCCCCCCCCCCCTTGCAGAGGGAAGGTTGGGAAAACAGCCCCGGGTTAGCGCAGGGACAAGCAGCACTCGCGGAAAGTCGCCGATGTTTGGGTTCTTGCCGCTTTATTTTCTTTTAAAAGCTTCTGGGAAATTTACACCAAGAACTTTGGGGCTGGATGGCCCAGGGGCCTGCGGGCCTGGGGGGGATGGGGTTTGCTTTTTTGATGGGTTTGCTTTTCAGGATACAGCTTTTCGAAGGGATTGAATTTAACTTTGTGCCAGTAACGCCTCTTTAAAGACGTATTTTTTAAACTCCCTTTTTAGTCTGTACCCCAGTGCAGCCCACTCCACTCCAGCGAGGGCGGGTGGGGTCATCCAGTCCACACATTCCCCCGTCTTTCCCCATTTTACAGACAAGGGAACTGAGGCTCGCAGAAGGGAAGCTACCTTGAGGACCACAAAAAGAGCAGAAGCCTAACGAATATGTCCCATCAATGCACATAGCACGCTCGAGCTTTGGGGAAAGGTGGGAGCAAGGCGGTAGCGAACTGTGAGCACAGGGGCCGCGGGAGAGGAAGGCGGCCGGGACGGAGGGCAGAGGAGCCGGCTCGGGCGGGAGGTGGGAGCCGAGCTGCCCGCGTGCATGGCTCTCGGATGTGCAGGTGCCTGGAAGCACCTGGGAGCTGCCAGCCCCTCTGTAGCTCCGGTTTTCAGCGGGGCCTTTCCTTTCTCCCAGAGGAGGAGGAGAAAGCCTGGCCCGGTGCGCCTCCCTGGCGGCTTCTCACCGTCCTCACGGGGCGCAGCCTGCGCCAGGGCCCGGGTGTCACCAAACAACGCCCGCTCCCCGCGCCCGGGCGCAGCCTTGGACCTCAGATCTGACGGCGGCGAAAACGGAGTCCGAGAGGCCCGACCCCCACGGGGGACGCAGGGCCGGGAGCAGGAAGGTGACGGGAAGACCAGGGGCCTTACCTGTGCCGCCGCTTCTTCCGCTTCTTGGTCTGGGCTAAGGCTGACTTGGGCATTTTCCGGTCGCTGGAGGAGACATCTTCAGAATCTGGGAAGCGGACGGAGACATGCGGCAGCAGCGGGGGCGCCCCAAACCCGGCGTCCCAGCCCACCCCGGCCGCCTCGGGGAGCGGCGGGGACCCGCTCGCACTCCCCGGGAAGCCTTCTTAGAGGTCGACCCCATCCCTAAGCCCGGGCTGGCCCTGCCCAGGCCGGCGCCCCGCTCCGGAGGTTTGGAGCAGATTTCGTTGTAAGAGAGGCCAAGGCCCGGCGCTCTGGGGGCAGGG